TTCCAGCCTCTTCCAACATTTCCTGAAGGATAGCTAGTCCTAAATTCCCCCAGCATTGCCCCAAAGTCACTCCCCACAGATAAGGCAGGAGTGGAAAGCAAATGTGGCTGAGAGGACAGAAGATGAGGGGCGCACAGAGAAAGGGCCGTCGCTTTATCTCTGAAAAGTGGGCTGTGGGCTTCATGCCAGTTAGCTCAGTTTATAATATTGTGTTGCCAGATTTTCACATGGATTTCTGATCTCGAACAAGGATAAAAAAAAATTTTTAATAGTCAACCTAAGGAAACAGCATCTTAGTGAATTCATGCTTAAATAGCCCTCTGCTCCAAATAACAATGGTAGCATATAAAATACATTAAAAAAATTAAGTTATAAAATATAAAAAGAGAAAAACAAAAAGACACAATGCTTATGTAAGTAAACATCCCTGCAAAAGGGCGAGCAGGACTTCAGTGAAGGGTCTGCCAGGCCCTTGGCCAGGGGCAGTGAGCGGTGGCCACAAGCTCAATGGCAGTGACGTCGGAGGACATCATATGACAAGAGCCTTAACTCTTGAGTTTTGGGCCTAGGAAGGTGGCCAAACAAGGACTCAGCTTCTCACTCAGGAGCTCAGCCAAGAGGTATGCTGGTTCCATGATGCTTCCTGATATACCTGATACAACAATGCTGAACAACCTTAGCAAGTTCTGTCTTGAAATGAGGTCTCACAGTGTGCTCAGGACAAAACCTGCAAAACCACTAGAAAGAGTGGGGTGTACATGGGAAGAAGGGGAGAAAGGGGCAGGAAATTGAAAAGAGAAAAAGAAATTAAAAGGAAATCACATGCAAATCAAGCCTTAAATTGTAATTCCAAAATACGTAACACATCTAATGCTAAGAAAGGCAACAAAATGGTTACAACAGGAATCCATTCTGCATAAAATCAATTTGGTAGGGCATTGCTATAGACCAGGGGTCGGCAAACTGCGGCTCACGAGCCACATGCGGCTCTTTGGGTACGTACATGTGGCTCTGAAGTAAAATTGAAAATGAAAATAAAACTATCATAGTTGCATTTATAAAATTTTTAAAGGATATTAGTCACATAATGGTGATTTCATTTGTTTAATAGGCCTCGCAAAACTTGGAGGGACAGGATTGGCTCTTCCATCTCAAAAGTTTGCTGACCCCTGCTATAGCCTGAATGTTTGTGTCCTCCTCAAAATTCATATATTAAAGACCTAATCCTCACCGTGATGGTATTTGGAGATGGGGCCTCAGGGAAGTAATCAGGGTTGGATTAGGTAATGAGGGTAAGGCCCTCATGATGGAATTAATGCCCCTCTAAGAAGAGGGTGGGACACCAAAGGTCTTGCTCTCTCTGTCATGTGAGGATACAAGCAAGAAGATAGCCGTCTACATGCCAGGATTCTCTCTAGGAACTAAATCTGCCAGAACCTTGATCTTGGACTTCCCAGGCTCCAAAACTGTGAGAAATGAATGTTTGTTGTTTGAGTCATCCAGTCTATGATCCTTTGTTATAGCAACCTGAACTAAGGCAGTCTGACAAATACTTTACAATAAACACATTACTGCCCTTAGGCATTTTCACCGGGAAATCTCAAAGGCACTTTAATTGAATATGTATATATAATCATAAACTCTTCTTCAGACCTTTTTCTTGTCACATTTTCTACATCTCAATGAGTGATACCACCATTTCACCAGTTACCCAAGGGAAAACACTAGGTGTTACCCTTCAACCTTCCTTCATGCTCAAACCACTCTCTACCAACAGATAAACTGAATCAACCAGTAGGTCCAGTCCTGTCTCCCTCTTAAAAAGCTTCACATTTGTATAATTTTCCCATCTTTGCCACCTCAATTCTCACTCAGGTCACTGTTATGACTTCCCTAGTGTACTGCAAAGGCCTTCTATCTCTTTTCCTTCCCTCTAGTATTTCTGTCACACAAAAATAAAATACTGACAGTAGTCAACTCTGGAGAAAAAGGAAAGGAAGTGGAATTAGGGATTGCTCTTCAAGTGTCTTTGTGTAATTTTTTCTTTAAAAATGAAGACTGGAACAATCATGACATATGATAAGATCAGATACAGCTGAGTGGTTGATACACAGGAGTTTGTTATTACATTTTCCATACTGCTGGGACATTTGAAATGTTTTCCCAGTAAAAAACCAAAAAGGGTAAAACTAAAATAATACAATACCAAAATAAAATAAAATAATTGCTACTATCTGTTTATAACCCTTTTACTACAGGAATCAACTTGGTAATAAGTTTCTTAACCTTAAGAAACAATAAGTTTCTTAATATTCATACCCTTTGAACTTAGAAATTCCATCTACAAATTCACTCCAACAAGATCATTCTTTACATGGGCCCAAAGATGCTCATCAGAAAATGCAGATCAATAAAGAATTGGTTAAGGGAGTTTTGCCTTGTCTTGCTAGTGAAATATAGTGCATCCATAAAAATGATAGCTATGAAGATTGAATAACACGTAGAAAGGCACCCGTGTTACAGTGTGAAGTGAAAACACATGTATATATGTACATAAATATATCCACGTGCACACAAGTACATACATCTGTGATTAGAAAAAAGAATACTGAAAGGCAATAAAGCACAGTACCAAAGTGCATGTGTTAATTTTTCAGGAATGCATTTAACTTGCTTTTATAATATAGGAAGTCTTCACTTAAAGAAAATAAAATACATCGCTGAATGATGCAGTGTTTCAGGCAGTCTTCCATCTTTGTATTTAGCAGTGTGTGTCCCATGTCAACACTAGCATTTCGTTCTCTGTGCTTGAGAGTGTGAAAGTAGATATTTTGTCTTTCTTTTCCACCAAGTAAGAGGGCTCACTATCACTTAAATAGGCCGTGAGCCTGAAACTCCCTGATAGTTCCTGTTAAGGTTTAATAACCAGAATGACATTTGCCCAAGTAGACAGAAGTGTTGCTGAAGGGTCAGGCTGTATCAAAACCAAACGCCCGATTCACATTTGATAAGGAGGTTTCATTTCCTAGCTAACTGCAGATGTATCTTTATGGTCGCTGTACAAATCCGCCACTTCTCTTGTATTTCCCATGCTCAGAAATATTGCATGTGTAATGCAAAGGGTTCATCTCTGTTGAAAGGTGTGTGTGTGTGTGTGTGTGTGTGTGTGTGTGTGTGTGTGTGTGCGCGCGCGTATGGGGGGCTGGATGTTCTCCTGTTTTTTTGAGGAGCCCCTGCTCAGTCAGGCTGAGTTCCACTCCTTGGTGTCCTGGGACAGACAATAATTTAAGCTTAAAGCTCAAACCTGTGCCTCATTGAAAAAAGAGAACAAAGGGGATGAGAAATTGAAAACGTATTTGTAACTACAGACCCAGTGACTTCATTTTCCTCACAACTGCTCTTCGGGGAAATATTTTTCACCAGGTTATTTTCTGCTTAAATTGCTTTTGCTTCACGGGAGCCCAGCCCTTCTGGGCAGTGGGGGCAGGACATGTAGAAATGCTAGAGGCAGCGGTGGGAATAGCAGTACTGACCTCTGACTAATACTTCTTATGGCTGCTGTCACAGATGGCACCTTTGACCTAGATAATTTCTAGAGGCTCAGGAGTTTCAAAACATCACACATTTCGAAATGAACATACGATTGCTGTGATTTCTAAACGTTAACCCTTGGTTTTTCTGTACTGAAGAAGGGAAAAAAAGAAGTTGGTAATACAAAAATTGTTCATCAGGTTGATGGCACTTGACTCAATGTCTGTCTCCGGACCTCTTTCCACAACTATTTCCTGAGGTGGGGTGGAGGGACCGGGAAAAAGCAAGGCAACAAGGGGTGTTGAGACAAGGTATGTGAGACAGAATCCCGCGGAGGAGTGGACTGTATTGTTCTGACCCATTCACCCTCCTCTTTTATTCCCTTTGCAACATCGCTGACTCTGGTACTTCACCCTGTAGTTGCCTAGTGTTATAGGCAGTAGTTATAGGCTAGAGGCAGGAGGTTCCAGAAAGACTTGGACAGAATCCCAAAGGAGAAAGAGAAGCAGAGGCTTGTTCATGTGGCAGTGCTATGAAGTCCCCTTACCCCCCAAATGTGTGAAGAGCCCCAAGTCCTGACAGGCCCTGACTTCTGCCCTCACAGGCCTTGGAGAAGTCCATCTAGCCCTATAGTGAGAGTCTGTGCTCTACAATTATACACGCTCCTTTATAATCCCCAGCCTCTCTTTGCAGTTGGGTCGGGCCCAGAGGACTAAGATCCAACAATGAAATGTGAGCAGAAGTGATCCGTGTCACATCCAGGCTTAGGTCATTAGGAAGAGCCAGTCTGCCTCTTCATTTCTCTCTTCCTCTGTGGCAAGCTGGAAGCCACACCTGTCAGGTGGCTTAACTACAAGATGAAGTAGAGCCACCCAACTTGCATCAGACTTGGAATTGGCTTAAAAATAGACCTTCATTGTGTTGAATTCCTGTGATTTCAATTTCTTTGTTACTGTAGCAGAACCTATCCCATCCTAATTCTCAACAGCAATGAATCTCTCCAACACTTGATTTTGGGAGAGAAAACTACTTCCCTAGTAGATATAAAAAACTGGTAAAGTGGAGACAGAAAAAGAACACTGAGCTAGGAATGAGGAGAGCTGGTTATGTTTTAGATTTGGCCATGATTTATAGTATGTCTTTAGGTGGGTTGCTTGACTTTTGTGATCCTCAGGTCCTTAACCAGAGCAGTGGTTTTTTTTAAAGTCTTTCTGTTTTGCTTTTCAAAAAGACATGTGACCCTTTCTTCAAACAAAATCTTTCACGAAGGACAGAATATAAAGCTGATAAAAGAGAAACTGCCTCTCCCTTTAGACCGTGATCTGCACATTCACTTCCCAAATGGGCCCCTGCACCACCTTCATGGAACCCTGCAGACCTACGGGCACCGAAGGCAAACCACTGGCTTCGATTGCCTCGTGGCTCGTTGTGGAGCTGATGTGGCTCATAGTGAGAGCAGCTGTTCTTACCTGTTCCACATGTTACACTGCACTCTGTCCAGCGGCCATACTGCCAGAAGTACACCAGCTTCTCCACGTCATTGTCAAGGCCGTCTTTCCGGATTGTGTACTCATACTTGATACCAGGGTTAGTCACCTGGAACAGAAGCTGAAAGGCAAGAGAGGGGTCATGTCAAACTCTGTCATGATTTTACACTGCAAACCAGTCGTGTGAAAGCACTACACAACGTCCAGCATCTTAGTTATGGAGGCATGCACTGGAACAAATGCCAGCAAATAAGTATGTTGCTACCTCTTCCTCTACTTCCACTTGTACATCTGCATATAGCTATTTCTATACCTAATAGCCTCCATTCTATTATTTCTTGACTGAATTCCCACAGAAATTCATGGGCGGTCTAATCATATGAGAATTACTCTTAGGGAAGGATAAGGAGCGTCCTTTCCAATAGGCTGGTAGGTCACCTGTGTACTTACTACCATTGTGATTATGAGTAAGTTGCTGAATCTCTTTGTGCCTTAGTTTCCCCATCTACAAAGTGAGGATAATGACAGTATGACTAATAGGGTTGTTGTGAGGGTTAAATAAGTAAATAAATGTAATGTAAATTAGATGTGATTAGAACAGTGCCTGCCATGTACTTAGCATTCAACAAACATTAACTTTTATTGTTGTTGTTGCCTTATGATGCCCTTCTCTAGCTCTCCAGGTGATTCATTTATTTAAAGTATATAGTTCTGAGATAAAATTGGTCATGGGTTTTAGCCAAGGCATACTACTCTTAGGACCGTCCCCTAATTTCCTCTCCTGCAGGTAATCTACTAATTATGTGAATCTAAAGTAGGTTCATCTTAAACTTAGAGGCAGCAGGTTGGTTGCTTCATGGGACTGGGGGTTCCCATATATAAATCCTTTTTTATGTGGGCAGGTAAGATGTCAGGTCTCCTGACATTTATGAGTCATAACAGTCAAGCCTTGACGGCCAGCTTCTGTGAGTGCTATGATCTCTGGCTCTGAACAGACCTTCTAACATCTGAAGGTTAGATCTGACTCTCTTCGGCCATCTGTCATCCCCAACCTACTTTGCCTCTACTGGTATAATATTCTACTCCTTTACTATAGTTCTTTTCCAATATGAAAGACAAATCATTTGTGCCTTTGACGAGTACATCCTATACAGATGGTCACATGTCTTGCTAGGGAGACCGCATCATGGATGGGGTAGAGGCTTGATCACTGCACTGTACACCTGAAGCTGATGTGCTGATGTTGTATAATATTGTATGTCAACTATAAGTGAATATA